TGAAACAAGCTGAAACAGCTAATCCAGGGTGTCTACTAGCTGGAGAGATCTGGAAAACCTGGAATTCTCAAGGAATTTTTTTATGCCTGGAAAAATCAGGGAATTCCCAGTTTTATTGGAAATCGAGGAATTAAAAAAAAATATTTATCTGCAAGCTAGTAAATTTAATGTTTAATTATATTGACCTGATATTTGGAACATTGAATTTACGATTAATCTGATATTCAGCATTGGAGGCAACGATTTCATATCAGGTGCAGTTTTGCTTAATAAAATATATATATATTCTAATAGTTTCATAAAAATTGAATTTTTTGCACTGGTTATACAATATGTAATTTTTTATAACTTTAATAACCTTTGAAAATAAAATTTGGAAATTTCGTGAAATATACTCGTAAAATATTTATTGTTTCAAATTCTTGCAACTTCTTTCGACATTTTTCAAATTTAATCATTGAAACTCGGGTGATTCTTAATTTTATTTTAGGATTTATAAACTCTTATAAATGGAAAATATATTAAGGACACAGTAAATATATATTCATTTGCAAGATATATTTAAAAATATTGTTATCTTACCTGCATTTTTTAGCAAATTGCATGGGAAATCGGGGAATTTTTGAAGAATTTGTTTGTCGACTTTGAGTAGACACCCTGTGACCGTTTTCCGGAAGAGGTGTGTCGGTAAAAGTTCACTTAAGGTGGATCGGCAGGTGGTGGCCACGTCGAACGAGGTGGAGGCGACCTCGCAAGTCCTACCGGCCGAATCGTTGAACCCGTCCAACGACACTGCGATGGAGGTGGACACGGAGGAAGTGGTGGAGTCGGGAGAGCTCTACGCTGGTAGCAGTACGACCACGCAATCGGCGGATTGCCACAGGGACGAGCCGTCGTCTCAGGTGGAGTCGGACAGGCGTCGTCTGCGCGAGAGCGTCGAGATGCGTTTCGAGGAGGATACGGGCACGGAGGCTGCTAGTCAAGAGACGCCGTCGCAGTCGCAGTACGAGCAGTTCGGCTCGGCGTCGGTTACCAGCGTCTCCGCGGATCTACCTAGTCAGTCGGCCGCTAAGAGCTCCGAAAGCACGGCCGAGGCCACTCAGTCGAGCATCATCGCGTACGAGCCGATGGACGAAGAGGAAGCTGTCGTGGCGGAGCCACCTACCCAGTCGTTCGAGCATTCGAAGGTCAACGAGGCGTCGCAGTCGTACGAAGCGTCGGCGGAGGCCAACGTGAACGCGCCCACGCAATCGTTCAACGAGATAATGCAGAGCCAGGAGGATCGCTCGAACGCCGCCGACCAGACGGTCGACGACCAGAGCTTCCCGACGCAGAGCTACGAGGTCGGCAAGGGTGAGAACGCGCCGGAGAACCTGGAGACCGACGCGGAGATCAGTCAGGAGGGGAACGTACCGTCGCAGTCGAACGACATCGGCGTCGACGGTATCGGCACGTCGTCCGTGTCGACGAACAATTCTGGACTGAACGAGGACGAGACGGCGAGCTCGTCCTACGTGCCGGAGACTCCTGAGAACCAAGAGAGGGACCAGGAGGACCAGGAGAGCGCGATCAGTACGTCATCGTACGAGATACCGCCGTGCGAAGAGCTCAACATCGCCTCGTCCAGCGTGATACCGGACACGTCGGTCAGCGCGGAGCACAGTAGCATCCATGACAACGGAGTACCGGAGATACCTACGTCATCGTACAACCTGAACCCGGACATCACGTCGACCCACGTGGATTCCGGGCCGACGTCCAGCTACGAGGACCAGGTGATAGTCGAGCAGAACGTCTCCACGTCGTACGAGGTGCCGATCTCGATGCCCGGCTTGGACGAGACCTGCTCGCAGAACTTCGTCACCGAGAGCACCGATCACAGGAACGAGCCGTCCAGCTACTACGCCCATCACCAGGAAGTGACGGCGAGTTACTACGAGTCCGTCGACCAAGACGCGAACTCTCGGCTGGAGGGTAGCGATCCGCACGAGGAGGTGACGCCTGGCTACTACGAGGGCAATCCCCAGGAGGTCAGCCAGAGCTACTTCGCGCCGGCCGAGGAGGCGCCGAACTACACTAGCCACAGCATCTCGCCCAGCTATTACGACCCCAGACCCGAGAGCGAGGCCAGCCAGAGTTACTACTCCACGGACGAGCTGGACAAGACGGAGCAGTCGTCCTCGCCGAACATCGAGGCGTCGCAGAGCTTTTACCAGGAGAGATCGGGCGAGCTGAGACTGAGGCAGCAAGGCGAGGCCACCCCGACCTATCCGGAGGGCTACCCGGTGGACTACACCTTGGAGAACTCGCCGATCGAGAGGCACGACCTCGTGGAGAGCTCGGTGCCAGCCACCAGGCCTATGGAGAGGTAATATATTGCGAGGGCCGACGGCGTCGAGGAGATCCCCCTCTCGAAATAGACTATCAGACATGCCGCCACCGTGCACGCCTGCCGTCGACAGCATACAAACTCCTCTACCACCTTTACCCTTCCCCCTCCCTCCCCCGAGTCTATTTTTAACTGTAAATATTACGTTAAGACGTACACAATTAAGCGGTTAGATTTTAAGATGAAGTCTCTAGACCTTCTTCAGGTCGCGACGCACAAGGCAAACGCACCCGTTCGAGCGCGCGCGCGTCTGTGTACGTTGATATAAAAAAAGAGCAGGAGAAACGAACGGATGTAACTGTGCGGATGTTATTTGCTCTTAGAGTCCGGTATGTAAGAATTATGTATGTAGGATTACGCCCACAGTATGGTTTTATTCGCATTATCCATTATGATGTTGATTTCAACCGTTTGACATAACGAAGAAGCAGGGAGAGAGTGTCCATACAATCGCTAGGGTATATAAACGCAGCGAGATATTTATACGAATAAATACATTAATCTCCTTTCTATTTCTCTCTCTCCCTCTCTCCTTTTTTTTTTTTTTATGTCAGAGATTTATGTCACGCGGCTGGTTCCCGGTTCCCGCTAATATTTCTGTGTGTTTACGATTGAATGTCGTGGGTAAAATCGCGGGGAGGGGTTATCAGTTCACGCGAGAAACCTTTTTCTCGTGACGGAACGGATGGTCGGATGATGGAAGAAGAGGAAGATAAAGAGAATCACAATACGTTGAGCACCCCGGGATTTTACCGCCACTTCACAATATCGAGTCCGTGGTTATTTGTTTACGACAAGTTATAAGAAGAGATAAGAGCTCATGTGATTGTATAAAGCGAAGAATACGATATTTCTGATAATATGCCAATGATAAGTTGCGTTCTGCAAATCAGTGGAAACTTGAGAAACGGAAACCTTCTCTCTCTATTTCCCTCTTTCTCCCTCTTTCTCTCTCTTGGATTATATCGTTTGAAGACTTAACTTTCGCGTATAAGTTGCGTCATGCCCTCGATTTGCTCAATGTGGAAGTGTTTCTTTTTTTTCTTTTCAACGGCTGCGCGAATTGCGACGAGATACGCTGTGCGAGGCTTTTTGAGCGAAACGAGGATCGTGCTACATTTAGTCTTACAGTTTAGTTCGTAGGTGAAACAATATATATGGAGAATAAAGGGAGCGCCTATTTTATTTCACTTATATACGTTGTGTATCTTGCGTGTTGAGACGAAGGCGATTGGAAAAAAAAAAGATGAGGATGAAAAGGAACGAGCAAAAGACTTTGTTTGAAAAATCTGTCGTGTCTGAGATAATATGCCTAAAAATAGCCAGGGATTTATTATAATTTATAATATTTGAAAACGATTTCTTCTATTGGAAATGTGGTATATACTTTTAATTGAGAAGGATCAAATAGCATGTGCGAATGTTGTAATTGTTGCTAAAAACCGGATCTTCGAGGATAATTTGATTGTGCAATCCTCTCAAGCAAGGCAGATTTACCAAAAGTCGTAAGAAAAATTACATTATATTCTTTATAGTCTCATGTTATACACACACACACACACACACACACACACACACACACACACATGTATGTATATATATATGTGTGTATATATATATATATACACACATATATATATACATATATATATATATATATATAATCGAGAATAAATCTATGTTTTTATTTCTCGTGGCGTTTTTAATCATGGTCACATGTGTATATATAAATATGGCGTCGATAGGGATCAGAGAAAAAATAAGAAAAATGTGAATATATAATCACGTTGTCGTACGAAACAACATGATTCAATGAATTGTTGTAGAGTACCGGGAAGAAGAACTGGAGAAATTTTCAAGGACGGACTGAATTGTTAAGGCTTTTCAGTTGTCCGTAATTCTTTTGATATTTGTATATCTTTCACTCTAAAAGAATTGCAATAGAAAAAATAGTGTACCTACGAATAACACTATGAGAAATAGTTACGTTTTCTATTAAAGAAGAAAAAATAAGAAGAAAATAAACTTTCTGATAGCCATAAGAAGCATATGTGTTTGCTCTGTTTGACTTGATTGAATTTACCTGGCATAGACCGATACTGAGGAGTGAAGTGTCACTCATCTGCGTTTCATGTATCAACAGTATCAATAACAACCTGATATTTTTAACACTAACAATACTATCTATTTACATTTATTTCTATTGTGTGCACCACATACACGATTGTAATTAAGAGTAAAATAAATATACGAATATTTACATAACAGAGATTACATGTACAATGAATATACATATATATATCTTTTGTGTCGTTTCTTTGCCATTAATATATCCTGTTACAACAGAAACTGTTACTGCTCTTCTTTACATGGCGATAGAACGAAAAGGAAAAAAATAGCATTTTTCACGATCAGGCACGCTTGTTGAATTTTGATAAAACGAACTGTTTGTAAAAGGTCTTTGTAAATAAATTATGTACGGATGTAACATTGCATATATACATATACTTGTGTTAGTGTAGAATAATCGTATGCACTATTAACCGGTTTGCATTGGTATGCACGTCACCAGATCGGTATCGGGCTTGGATGTGAGAGAGCATCACGCAAATTTGCATAATTATTATCAAAGATTTATTAGCTAAAATACTCCCAAAATACAATAAGTTATATTACATTCGTGAGTTGCGCCGTGTGTGGTCGTTTCTTCTCATATTATTTATACATATATATATATATATATATATACACAATATAACAATAATTGTGGCATTTAGAATGGAACACAGTTTGCGTGATTTCGCTGTACCTCGATTTTTTGCTTTTTTTTACTTTCGCCAATATTGTGCGAACTTGTGGAGCTGCTCCACCAGCGCGGCCATCACCGCGGTGACCGACAAGTCCAAGAGATTGTGCACATAATGAACTGCCTCTTCGTCGCTCAGGTCCAGTCGCAATTTGTCTTGCACCTTCTTCACGGCCTTGTCCGGCTCCAGAGCGATATCGGGCACACTTGCGTCCACCATTAGCGAGAATAGATTCAGTATAAGATTCGCGTGCCGGCGCAAGTGAAGGAACGCCGTGTAACACTGCTTTCGGAACTCGTGATAATGCTCGGAACCGACGCCGCCCATGGCCTCGACCATCTCCTTGCTGAGCTTCATCGGCGGCGGCAGAGGTTTCGGGTCTCTGCCCAGGATGTAGCCAAAGTCGATGTGGAAAAGTTTACCTGCGAGAGAAAAGACGATAAGCGACTCGTTCGATACGATCGTTTGTACATTCGGGGAGTTACCTGACGCTGTGAGCAGCAAATTATCCAAGTGGCGATCGCCGACCCCCAGCACATACGTGATTATGCAATAGCCAGCTGCAATGTTGCGACAGTAATTAGTATCACAGTCACCATTTATTCGGTTCTTTCGAATTTATTTAGGGGAATCCCCCTGGGAACACTTGCCAACCCCCTGTTTTGATTTCGTTAAATATCTAAAAAAAATTAAAGGAAAATCGAGGCGTTCTTATGCAAATATCATAGATACTTTAATAGTACATCTAACCACATTGATCAAGTTAAAAAATAACGGCTACTATACCAGCGGTTCACGCATTTTTAATGTGTTTACTGAGCGCTCGCCATTTTATTCAGCATACTTTTAATACGCCGAACCATTTAGTAAATATATCGGAGCAGCGTAAATTGTTAAATGTCGTTCAGCTTCGAAAATCTTACAACCGTTGCAAAGTGCAGCGGAAAGCGCTTACTTAGCTGTTTTTCTACTGAACGCAGCCAATAATTCGTAGAGTTACATTTTAGTAAAACAATCGAAATGTACCAAGTGTCCCCTATTCTGAGAGACTTGACTCGGGAATTCACGTCACTCCTATATTTTAATTAGTGTAATCAAAGATATTCAGTAATCATAGTCTCTATTAAAGATTTTTGTACGATTAAACAAGTTACAAAACATAATTTTAAAAATAAGTTATACTTGTCTTGGTTAACTTAACCTTTGGTTATCTGGCTGTCTTTACATTGGCCCTCATTTGCCCAATGAATGCCAATATAACCGATGTATCGGGCCAATGTATCGCCCATGAATTACTCTATTAGGATATAGACTTGATTCGTGGATCAAATGTATCTTATTTTTTGCACACAAATAGATTTTTGTCGACTAACCTTGTAATTACCTACCTAAAGTAACTTTCCATTCCATTCTGGAATTTCAGTCTAATTACAAGATCTAACAACTTAAAGAGCAATTGAGCATATTTACGAAAAAAAGAAAAATTGGGCACTCCAAAATGTAAAACACATCCTCACTCTATCGACGTTCAACTGTCAAAATGACATTTAACATTTCCTACAGTTAAGAATGAACATTGCTGCTAACGTGAAAAAAAGAAAAAGAAATCTTTCCATCGTCAAAGTAACAGCTAGGAATCAAATTTCCCAAAGAATCATGTGTCTCCAGGTTTCCCTAGATAATTCGGTAGTTCATCACATTACGGTGTGTTTACCGCAACTGCGAACGTAAGTGTCCATGACCTCCGGCACCACGCCGTAAGGTCCGGTCTCGGAAGGATGGTGCTTTCGGAAGAAGCTCAGTATCGATCCTTCGCTAGCCAAGACCTCCGCGACCGTTGTGGATTCGATGAATTGTAAGAAACCGTGTCTAGTGCTTGTCGCAAGTACCCTGGTGCAATGATCGAACTATAAAACGGTGAACTAAACGCGCGATATTACAGCATTGTACTTGTAGAACCTCTTACCTATACGGAGTCAGTTTCAGGTCTAAATTTTCTCTCCTTAATAACTTATCCATGAGCGCTATCGTTTGCAGAATCAGCTGGTCTTGTCGCAAGTCGTCTCCGTGCTTAAAGATAGCTATGTACTCGTCGTTCTCCGCCGTTAAGAACGTCAGTTTCGACGGCATGAGCGCGGACTTGAAGAGACTCGCTCTGCGAAAATTGGTCGAGTGAGAATTCATGAGCGTTGGTATTTGCTAAGTACATTAAATAGAACAGTGCTCGGAATTATTTGTATAAACGAGGCGATTTTCGAGGGCTGCGTCTCCTTGCTTCCCCTTCAGCTCGTCCTGCGAGTTACGCAACTGACAGTCGCGGGACTCAGCCTCACCTCAGGACAGTTCCGCTGGGCGAGCTGAATCTTGAAAATCGCCTCGTTCATACAAACAATTCCGAGCACTGAAGTAGAATAGACGGCGGGCGATTGGCGTGAGCGCGTACTTTTCCGGGATAATGCCTCTGATAGAGATCTCCGGGTCCAAGGGGAACGGGATCGGCTCGAAATTCGAGAAGTTGATCTTGAACGCCGGATCCGGGTCCGCCAATAACGCCCGCAATCTGTCGGTCTTCTTCTTGCGATTGCCGCTCTCTCGCGCCACCGCCTTCACCAGGGACACCAACTGATCGATGAACACCTTCTGCCGCAGCAGGAACGCTCTTCTCTTTTGCCAGATGGCGGTCCCGTGCGCTAACATCATGGAAAACATTTTCATCACAGTGACGTACATCTCCCTGACTCGCATGTCTTGTTTGGCGCTGATCGCGGGATCCGTTTGATCCTCGCATTCGATGGAGAGGTACCAGTAGAAATAATTAGCCAGCATGGAGTTTTGGCAGGCGCGCGTAATCAAGAACGATGCCAGGTCCATGAGCGGCTCCTGGCTCGTCGACAGCTGGCTGGATTCGCTCGACTGCAAATCAAACGCGTGGTCGCGTGAGAGATCACGATAGCGTGTAAAGTCAAAGACATATAGAATAGACTGAGCATTGCCATTGGAGAGCTGAAGCCAAGATCGAGGGACAGAGATATGTTAACGGTGATGCTTTCTCGGTCACACAGTACTGAAGAAGAGGGCGATGTAGGAGAAACGGAAGAATGAGAGTGGGCATGATGAAGGAAAGAAAGGAATAACGTCTATCTGATTGAATTGGTCGTACTAGTTCAAGAAATTTACGCACACTGAAGCATGAGAATCTCGTACATACGCTTCAATGTGTATACATATATTTCTTGAACCAGTGCAGCTAGTCCAGCTAAAAGGAACAGATCAATGGTTACAAGTATTATGAACCAACATCCATGCACATACTAGTATATTATGTTAATTATGTGTCTTCTCCTCCTCTTTCCTTCTTCCCACCAATTACATAATAAGACAAGGAAAGCACCACTATCTCTATTTCCCTCTCTTACTAATGCTGGCTCCTCCAATGGGTGTTCAATCTATTCTATACATGTATGCTATAAAACACCGCATCTCGATAAGCGTCATTATCGGTTTAACTCACAGTTGTAATCGGCGTGGATGTTGAATCGCAGCTTCTTATGTCTCTGTCCAATTTCTCGCTCTTCTCCGACCGCTCGTTCTTCTCCACCTTATCCTCCTTCTCCTTTACCATCGCCTGATAAGCGGCCTTGATGCTCTCGAAGTCCTCGTACTTCAACGCCTGCACCAGTTGCAAAAGATACAACATCAGGTCGTCGTCGTGAGCCTGATTGAGCCTGCTGATCGCGTATCTTCTGATATCCGGGTGGGTGAACGCGGGTCCTAGCAGCTCCAGCGCATCCTCGGGATCGGGTGGCGCCCACAGTGCCAGCATGTCCAACGCCTGGCGCACCTCGCCCGCGAGTTTCCAGTTGACACACTTGACGAACTTGGTTAACGCTTTCTTCTGACTGGACAAGTAGAACCTGTACTTCCAGATCAAATCTTGCTCCTCGGTGGAGAGCGCAGTTGTCGGCGGGTAGCCCAATATCGTGTTCAACGCGTCCCGTACGGTCGACGTGGGCTTCAATTCGCGGGTATTACCGCCGCTACGTAGGCTACGGGCCAGTTTATGGTGCTTCGCCTCCACGAGATTCTCCTGAAAGCAAGACCGGGCATTTTCTCTCACGCGAAATGTGATTCCCGCTACGTTTAACATCGGCATAGCAGGGCTAGAAATTATATTCAAATTTCTGAACGTTCGACACATTATATTCGACTAATGAAGTTTCGAAGAGCGATATTCGGACATTCGGATAGGTGAATGTTTGAATATTCGAAATTTCAAGAACCGGAAAGTACGTGTGTTCGTTTTGTAGAAATAGTAAATAGTATTTACCGTCCTACAGAATATAATTTGTTCTTGCTATCACATATCATATCAAAATTTGCATTTATTTTAAAATAAATGAGACTTGCTTATTATTTGTGCTCTCCTCTTTCACTTTCCTTTAAACTAGACAGGTACAAATCTCACAATTGAACTAAAGATACATCCTTAGTTATCTTAATTATCTTTAGTATCAGTTTAATTAAACTGATACTCCCTAATTGCACAGCATTATGTCGCACCCTCCAAAATGAGCTCTATCAACAGCTGCGATATTTCGAATCTTCGAACCTCGTCGTTAAATGTCGGAATTAAGCTTCGAAGCTCCGAATATGTCGAATAACACTACTTCTAATCGGTAGTCCAGAGCGTATTGTATATTTTTCCGAAAGCTCACTTGCAAAATTTCATAGTCGGGAAACGTCACAACGTCCGGCTGTGTTCTGTGCTGGAACATCTCGTCCCCGTCCTTCTCGTAGTACACGATCGAGTACTGCAACAGGATAATATAAATATAAATATATCAAACCGTCCTCTCCTGCACCGTGTGTATAAGATACCTCCATTCCAACGCTTCGTACCGGTACACCGTCCATCGTCACCTCCGGGAATTCCACCATCAAGTACAGATAGTCCGACGCTCTCTTCTCCTTCTCGTTGATCACTTCGATCTCTCGGAACGTCAATCTATCCAGCCAGTCGACCTTGTTCATCTGCCCGTTCCTGTGTTTCTTGGCGAGCTTCGCGAGCCTCTGCATCTGCTCCTTCCCATGATCCCTCGCCTTCCCCGGTGTGCTGGTCGGTACACTGCCGTCAGCCTCTACTCCAGGCCACACTCGGAGATCCAGCATGCCCTGTCGAAACACCCCATGCTTCCCGAACAGTGGTATCGTCGTGCCACCCACCGGAAGCTGCCTGCCGGGCCCGGCGCAGTCGTACAGCGTTATGCAGAGCTGCGCGTCGCGTGGCAAATCCGCGTAGGAGATCGGCAGGGTGACCCACTGGTTCCAGCTACGGGAACGTCACGGGAACATGATAGAGAGTAAACGAGCGTTAAAGGGGCTTGAGATTCTCAACGTACTTCCAGCGAGAGGTGAAATGCTTGTAAGCTGTATGTACGGGCAAGGCCAACGGTCTACCACCGGTCCACACTTGCAGCGACGCGGCCAAGTCCCCGCGGATCCCACCTGCTCCGTACAAGCCCGAGTACTTGAGCAGAGGGTCGACCAGCAGCTTGTCGTACTCCGGTCTCTGTCTCTTGCCCTCTAAGGTGCCTCTGCAAAAATAACGGAGCTACGATCCGCCCGCTTAGGAACTACGGAGGAAGCGCTACGTCACACTATCTGAACACTCAGAATTGCTTGTACAATCTCCACTGTGCGAGATAAAACCGTGCCTGGAGATAAGGAGCAGATGGTCCGACACGCACGCTCCGTCGCATTAATTAACTGTGATCCGATTACTCTCTTTCTCTCTCTCTCTCTCTCTCTCTTAGGCTGGTGTGAATTAATGTGTCATATTAGAGAGCAGAAGGCGTTAAGGTATTCTTATTTTGTATGCGCACGTAAGGTAACCTGACGTCGGACGCCGCGAACGGTGACGCAAGCGGTGAACGCAATGTATAAGCCTTACATCTTAATCTGTATCCTGGCGTCTAAGGAGGAACTGTACACGTAGAAAAACTTGTCGCTCTCCATCGCGTCCCGCTGCTGATGTCGAGTTAAATGCGTGACGCGTGCCAGAGTCCCTTCGCTCCGTCTCCCGCCGCTGTCATAACGCTACATCACCGCTCCGCGCACCGTTCCGACTCGCGTTGGTTACGAACGTGCAACTGTGCGTGCAATCAGGGGTGCATTAAAGGGGCCCGTGTCAAATGCGATGGGTGTGGACAGGCGTGCCATCTCTGGGCTGCTGTCGGTGGTCTCTCACTCGGCCAGTTACCAGCGGACGGGAACCTCCGCGATTTATCCTCCGGAAGTTGGCACACTGAACGTTCGTCCCACGGACATTTCGGTGGGGAGCGAAGGGGGAATCCGAAGTGATTCCGCAGTATAATGGAGTGTGCCATCACCGATCTCTAAGCCGAGTTCTCCCCGTTTCTCTCTCTCTCTCTCTCGTGAAAGAGTCACATTCACGCACACGGTCTCGCGCTCTCGCTAGTCGGTGTTAGTGTTAACAATAAGCGAAGGGAAAAAAAATTATAAACACAAGATGTTTGGTCCGGGCGCGGCGCCAATCGTTGTCTTGAGTAAGTTGAAAGCGATCGTTCCAATCGCCTGTCGCTTGTTGTTCGGCGATTTCTTACGCGACAGGAAACGCGACCGTCTCTAACCGCAATGTCGAATATTCTGATTATTGCAGGCCAGAACACGAAGCGAGACACCGGCAGGAAGGTGCAGAGAGAGAATATCCAGGCCGGCAAGGTAAGCGGCCCTCCGTGCCGTTAGACGCCAAAGTATCGCCTTATAAGGCGTCTCCTCGTGATTCGCCGGCATGCTCACGCGTGGACACCAAAATGGGCACATAGGTTGCTTTCCGGCAAGAGACGAGTCGGCTGAAGCTCGGTTGTATCGTCATTTGTACTTGGTTGCTTTCTAGCAAAAGACACAAATCTCTAGTTGTATCATCTATTATCCTTTTCTTCGCCAAAAATGCGGAATAAGGACGAATGATGATATAACTAGACTTCCGTCTCTTGCTGAAGGAACAGCCATAATCATTTTATCATTATTACCTTTCTCTCTACACAAGTGTACACTATTGGGTTCAATAAAGGACTGGTTTTCTCACGTATGATCCGTCGTGGCAGCTTGGTTTTAGCAGGATTTCACTATATTTCCTTTGTTGTGTCAAGGCGATTGCTGACGTCATCAGAACATGTCTGGGGCCGCAAGCCATGCTGAAGATGCTGATGGATCCGATGGGTGGTATCGTGATGACAAACGATGGGAACGCGATCCTACGTGAGATCACCGTGCAGCATCCCGCCGGCAAGTCCATGATAGAGATCGCCAGGACTCAGGATGAGGAAGTAGGCGACGGCACGACGTCGGTCATCGTCCTGGCTGGCGAGATCTTGGCCACCGCTGAACCGTTCCTGGAGCAGAACATGCATCCTACGGTCATCATACGGGCTTACCGTCAGGCTTTAGAAGACATGGTCACGATTCTCAACGAACAGATCAGCATCGATCTGGACTGCAATAACAAAAAGAAACTGGTACAGGTGATAAACTCTTGCATAGGTACTAAATTTATCAGGCGCTGGTCAGAATTGGCGTGCCAGATCGCCTTGGACGCCGTCTACACGGTGATGCTGGAGGAGAACGGCAGGCGAGAGATCGACATCAAGCGTTACGCCAAGGTGGAGAAGATACCGGGCGGCACGGTGGAGGATAGTATCGTCCTGAAGGGCGTAATGATTAACAAGGACGTGACACACCCGAAGATGAGACGTTACATCAAAGATCCCCGAATAGTTCTTCTGGACTGCCCGTTGGAGTACAAGAAGGGCGAGTCCCAGACGAACATAGAGATCATGAAAGACACCGACTTCACGAAGATTCTGGAGCTGGAGGAGCAGCACGTGAAGAAGATCTGCGAGGACGTGATCTCGGTGAAGCCGGACGTCGTCATCACCGAGAAGGGTGTGTCCGATCTTGCGCAACATTACCTCATCAAGGCCGGTATCTCGGCGATACGCAGGCTACGGAAGAGCGATATCAACAGGATCGCCCGCGCCTGCGGTGCCACCGTCGTGAACCGTACCGAGGAGCTGAGGGAAGAGGACGTCGGCACGAGGGCCGGTCTCTTCGAAATCAAGAAGCTCGGCGACGATTACTTCTGCTTCATCACGGAGTGCAAGGATCCCAAAGCCTGCACCATCATTCTGAGGGGAGCCAGCAAGGATGTTCTGAACGAGACCGAGCGGAACTTGCAGGATGCGCTGCACGTCGCTAGGAATCTGCTTATAGACCCAAAACTGGTGCCAGGTGAGGCTGTTTCGCATGTAAAATCATTGATTCACGCATCGTGATTTTTTTTATTATATTGTACCTTATATATTTATTATTTTATTATTTATTTATATATATTATGTATCTATATTTGTCATTTATTATATATTTTATATTTTATTTTAATATATTATGTTATAGTGTTTTTTTATCATATTATATCTATTATAATTTAGATAGGCTCTGAGAAGTACAAAAAAATTATAAACGCACTTGGCCTTTAACCTGCGAATAGTTTTCAAACAGTAGCGAGTAAATCTATACTTACAATGTCCCTAAACAATAATAAATCATAGAGCAATCGATAATATGCTACATTTTGTTAATAATAGCAACTTTTAATTGTAGTCTCCTAAATGATCCCAAGTGATTATTCCCAGGTTAAGAGCTTTAGTTAGTGTTTTATTACTGTTTTATATATCTATTATTAAAAATATAACAATATATATATATATTAAACTTTAATATTGAAAAGGTTTAGCAAATAGTTGAAACGTTCAATACATTACGTTTCTAATAATAAATATATAAGAAAGTCATAATATCGGCTGAGATTCTTAAAGAAAGTTTGCAGCGTTTGCAGCTTTTTTTTATATCCTCCTCTCTTATGTTAGGTGGTGGAGCGGTGGAGATGGCGGTGTCACGGCTCTTGTCGGAGAAGGCGGCCGGGCTCGCCGGAGTGGAGCAGTGGCCGTACAAAGCGATCGCACAGGCCTTGGAGATCATTCCTAGGACATTGGCGCAGAACTGCGGCGCCAATACCATCAGAACGTTGACAGCGTTGCGCGCTAAACACGCGACGGAGGGAACTACCTGGGGTATCGACGGGGAGACCGGCAAATTGGTGGACATGAAGGAACGTGGCATCTGGGAACCGTTGTCGGTGAAGCTGCAAACGTATAAGACAGCGATCGAGACCGCTATCCTGCTGCTGAGAATCGACGACATCGTCTCCGGCAGCAAGAAGAAGAAGAACGAGAACGAGACCGCGCAGCCGAGTCAAGTCACGGAGGAGTCTATGAAAGAATAAAAGTATTTTCGACATCTGTTGCAGCCTAAAGTCGCTTTGCGCCTCCACACCTTTAAGATTTTGTTACTTTGCGCAAAACGCGCGCTGTTCGGTCTGACGAATTTTTATCTCCCTCCCCCTCCCCCTTCTCTGTATTTTTCACAATGCAACATTGCATTTTTCACAACAATAATAAAAACAAGTCTCTTGCGAACTTGTAAAAAGTGATTTCTTTCTTATTTACACTGTCTACGATATCGAGTAGCTGTATAGTCGTTATGCTTAAATCTTTACAATCGGGCCTTTCAGTTTACACTGTTACTGGAGTTCTGCGAATTTTGTACATCGTGCCTCGGTACCGTCGTGTGTTGTTGAGTCGCTCTTTCCTTCGGTTCCTCCTCAGCGGTTTTCGCTGAGGAGGTTTTTGCTGACGGTACAGGCGCTGTGACGAGAGGAAGAATCGCGTTATGGGATGTTTGTACACTGGACATTGTCAATTTGGAGACCAAGGAATCCTTCTTGATGGGCAACAACACTGCCACGGGTTCCAATATGGCTTGCTTGTTCAAATATGTGATCTCCTGTAAATGATCTCACGTCACCGGACTGGCACTTTACGCATTTGAATATAATTGCAATCGACAAGCAGAGAGTAGTCTCTCATATAACGGGAATAATAATTATTAATTGCGATCATAACAAAGGGACCAGGAGGAAGAAGAGACGGATGAAAAGAGGGAGAAAGGAGAATGGTTGAAAACACGCCCGGCTGGAAATAAAGCGGCCTCTTACACTAAAAAAACAACATTATTGTTGACCTTGGAATATTACAGAATAAGATCCATATTGTCAGCTCACTTCTACTGATAAAAGTGTCTTTAAAAGTGACTCAGAAACCACCTTATTGGCTGAGATACCACATTAGACATTTAAGATACAGTCGATACCTTTATCGATACAAGTCGAGAATATGGTCTTTGTATCGTTTTATACATCGTAAGAACATTAGTTCTTTATACGGTTTACAATTATCGTTTTCGTACTCTCGATCGCTGGTTTTCCGAGGGATATCCCAGAACTGTTGCGCGGAATCGCGAAAATCTTCATTAAAACCTTATTAAAAATATATCTTCGCTACGATGTATCGTTACTGCACATCGTATTGTATAATTAGGTAAATGGATATGTATATATATATATATATATACACACAACTTGTCGATCACAATTATAACATATATTTGAGAATCGTATACCTCTTTCTGAAGCGCGACGACCGATATTCCCAAGTGTGTCGCGATCTGAACGGGTGGGAAGATTGCGTGTATGCAGTACTGTATGTAGGGAATCAACTGTTCGCTCAGGCATTCCGTGAACTTGACCATGTTCTCTCGTTCGGCGGCTGCGAAAGCCTACAAAACAATCGCGTGCGTCCACGAAATATACAGAATTATTCGCGCGAATGAAGAGGACTATGTGACGACGAAGCCTTACCTGCTGCTCCTGCTTGTAAAACAGCAACATAGCTCTGGCTACGTTGTGCAAGGATTCCTGCAGCAGTCTCGTGCACAAGGCAGAGAGTGCCACCGGCACGCAGAGTCGCAGTTCGTTGAATGCCGATATTATTCCGTTGCAATACTCGGCCAAGGGATAAAACTCCACCAACTGTTCGGGCGGATTTTCCTGCGAAACGTTGAGCAAAATTATAAATCAAGACAAGAATTTATACGCGAGAGAGCGGTGGTTGTCGTATGCTCACCGAATTAATCGAAATCTCGGTCTTGATGTCGAGCCGTTGCGTCTTATTGATCAACGTGAACGTCTCCATGTCTTTCTCGAATTTCCTGGTCGTCCTGCGGACGTTCTGCTCGAACTTCTCGCCGATAACTCGCACGAATATATCGGATATTCGGCCGGTGAAATCGACGCCCACCCGGCCGAACGACAGTCCGAAGTACGTGCACTGGCCCAAGATGGAATCTATAGACGTCACACCCGGTAGATCTTGTTCCAACGTGGCGAGAAATTGCGATATCTAGGAGGAGAAACGTCCCGATCAATATTATCTGTCGGTGTTGCATATCCGTTTTCCGATCTGTACCTTCTCCTCCAGCCAATGGTAAAATATCGCGGACTCGTTCAGCGTCAAGTCGCGGCCGGGGATGATCAGCTCGTCGTCATTGAACATGGCTTTGTACTGAGTGATTATGTTGAACAGGTGTATCCGGGACAGCTCAATCGTCTTGGCGATATGAAGATTGGCTGCAAGAAGCGACCGGTGATTCTCTCGCGTCCCACAAAGCAGTTTCTAACGAGAGTTCCTTACGATCTTCCTTCGGTATCGCATTCAGCAAGCCTTGGAGCCAACTGTCTCGCGCTTGCAGGAACTTGATGCGAAGCTCCGGCTCCGTGAACGCATCCATAGAGCGCAGCAAACCCACGAGCTGAAGGCACCTGGCAAGCGGTAGGTCCCCCCTCAGAGATCCGACCACTTGTCCCACCATCCCCGACCAGCTGCTTTCAATCTCCGCCACTATGGACTGAGCAATGATGATGGAATGAGATCGAGAGTGCGAGGTGGGGCTGTCGGAAAGAACCTCGCCGAGGTCGTACCGAAATAATCGGGATGTCGCCGTGTTTCATGCCTAACTGACGCGCGTACTGGGACAACTCCAACGCCTCGTTGTACTGATTGCTCCTCAGGCACGACTCCATCAATTGCGGCATCTCCAGGATCTCGAGCAGCTCTGCGTTTCGTGTCAAGGTCAAGCTGTTCAACCTTCTGTGCGCGTTAATGTCCTTCGAGGCGTCGCAAAACGACTGACATTTCTCCACGAATTCCGGGATCTTTTGCATGAGCTTGTCGAGTCGACTCTCAGTCTCGTTGAACTGGAAATGGAACGGTGCAATTTGTTAGCATCTCGAAGATTCCTGAGTTCTCTAAGGTCCTTCCTCGAAATTACATGATTCAGAATCTCCCGTGAGCTCTCTGCTGTCTGGATAAAGGTTTTGTAGTTAGCGAACACCAACTCCTGTGTAGTATGCAGTACCATATTCTTCTCATCAGACAAATGACCAGGTTCTTTGCCTGCAAAATTGTCATGTATGATAAAAGTGCGTCTTGAGAATAAACGATATAAAAATTATCGTGTTAAAAATTATACTGATGTATTGGAAACCCCATACTTAGCTGGTCTACATCAAAGCCACCAAGCTTGGAGAGGTATTGGTAAAATTCAGGATTTTCTTTCCATGATTCTAAAAGAAGAGTTTCAAAAAACATATAATACAAATGTTAAGTAATAATATGTGTAAATAATTAAGCCAAAATTACCATTTATTTCAGGATATATTAGAAGATAAATACATACATATTTGATCTTACCTGGAATACCTTCTGGAAACACCAGATTTATTACATTCTCCGTCTCAATGTCCATAGTTTCCCTTTCTTAGAAAATTATATTAGTCATTAACATTTGTCATACAAAATATTATCATTTTGTGCTGACAAGTGGCAAAAATAACAAGGAGGTTCCCTCGGCATGTTAGATAATTTAATTCATAGGAAGAAAAAAAGTATAGAGTGTTACTTATTTATCTTCTATTATAATCACTTACATCAGTTAAGATGATAAAATAATTAACTTATATCACAGTGGAAAGTTACACATAAAACTATTTGACAGATGCTTGGTTAGGTTAAATATTCCAATATGAGGTTCGTTCTCTTTGACTACATTAAGGTCGGTATTCATAGTCGGATTTTATATTTAAAACAGTCTTAAGTTTATCTTCAAATGTTTAACTGCTCGTTTCATTGGTTACGAAACATTTAAAGATGAACTTAAGATAAAGATAATTTAATTAAGACGGTCTTAAATATCAAATCCGACTTTGAATACCGCCCTAAAACTACAGTCTGTTCAACAAGAAAGTGTGGGTGATATTTTTGTAGAAAATCATAGTAGCACTATCTAATTTATAACGTTTAAATCTTTAAACTAAAGTGAATAAGAAATTTACTTGAATAGCCACTCGCTACACGGACATTTTAATATTAATTAAAAACCATGTAATATGTTACGCAAATCTTGCAAATAAATTTCCTAAATAAAATTCCTTTCTTTACGACGATTACGTTGAATATACATTTTACATTAGCAAATTTCATTCATTGATCGTAGAACTGAGTCAACGACTTAAAGATGACCGTACACTTACAAAGATAGCGTTAATATGTGACTATTTCTTTTTCGTTTTCAATTCCTCGGTATGGTAGCGGCTCATAGCGGAGACTTCGGAAATTAAAGTTGACGTCACCGTCCAACAGACTCGAACTCAATTAGTCGCGCACGCGCGCGCGAAACTGACTTTCTATTAAATTGAAAATTAATTAAAATTTAACAGGCCATAAGTTTGACAAAAATAACGATATCAAAATGGTTAGCAAAGCATTTTAAAGCTTGAAGTCTCTATTTTTCGAGCATACTGAATTTATAACGATGTTATTATTTATTATTGAGATTTATTATATATCGAGTTAAATGAAAAATGGCGATTGTCCAATTTGAAACGCAATTTAGTACTCATACTGAAACTTTAATTTTAATCAAAAATATGGACTTTGAAAAGAGAATTTTAACTTTTTAATCATTACTTCGCGAACGTTGTGTACCAATTCGTTTGTCTACCGTAGGAAAAATATTACTTAAATCATCAGATTATTATTATTATTTTTGCTTAAATTATAGCTTGATGAATTTCGTAACTTTTGTGTACCTTGTATATAATAATTATATCTTGTGTATAATAACATAATAATAAATGGCATATAATAAAATATGTAGATAATATATCACATTTTTTTTGTTTATGACGTACAAAACTTAAACATAATTATCTAATTACTTTGTTAACATTTGTACTGTGCAGTTCTTTTGTTTTTATTTATACTACCTTTGCAAATCTTACCTACATTCTTTTGCAGTTTTAGAGCAATTGAAGAGAAAAAGACTTTTTATTTGAAAGAACAAATACACCAGTCAGAACTTATGGAATATACTTTTATCACAGAGAGAGAAAGTAATAAAAATGAAAATAAAAAAGTTAAATCACAATATTTCCTTTGCTATGTCATTGCCACCTAATTACAAGCAAAATGCAAAATTCCCGACCGAAGAAACGTATTCCTTAAATTTTACCTGCCTTTCGTGTTTCAGATAAATCCCTGAAAATTCACGCGTACTAAACTCGTATCTATCATATTATAATTGAATTCACCGAGATTTTTGTGTTTCGCCAATTTTGGCGACATTCCCCGTTGCTTTGTCTTTGATCGCGGCCCTGATTATCCGTCCACCGCCGTTTTCCAAATTGCATCGTTCCTCGCGGCATCAACGAGACGCCGACGAGCAACCGAGGGGCCAGGAAAATTTTGCCTTGTGTCCTCGTCCGATGCGATTCGCGCAACCACGCTCGATCTCTCCGTTGTCGCGAGCAGCCTAAATATAGAGTGACACTGTGGCATTAATTTGTTGAATGGAAAGATAGGTGCGTTCACGCTCGAGGGGGACCGTACGTCAGTCATTGTAGGGTAAATCACGACGGGGCACGACGGCAGAAATCTCTGCATCCGCGCGAACGCGCCTCGAGGCTCCCTCCTTCCAAGTCGAGCTCGAAACCGTTTCTTTTTTTTTCGACGAACATTCACCGGCTGGCACGCGAAAAACGGGGTGGTGAAGGAGTCGCCTTTGAAAATTCTCCAAGGATAAGAGTATCGAAAGTGTATCGGTAGACACAGCCGCGGAGGGAGGGTACGGGTAGCTGCTCGGCCGCAGCGCACCGAGGATGCGGGGATAAGGACGGCGCAAGGATACCGAGAGGAGAAGCCGAGGATCTCGACTTGTGCGGGAGAGACGCGCGCGATAATTGTGTACGTATCTCTTATAATTAACCGCCGGATGACGAGAATGTTCGTCTTTCTTCCGCCGCGCTGTCGGACCTCGCGTTCCTCACCTTCCGCCTCGTCGAAACAAAGCTGCACACTCGGTGCTTTCGACAGGGCTCGAACTTTTTCCCTTTCGATGCTGCTCAGAACACAGCCGATGGTCGTCTTAATGAAGTTGAGAGAACTCAACTTCCGGGGGATCGATTAAAAAAAAAAAAGACAAATTTTCCTCGGAGAACCTTTTTCAAAGAGAGAAAGAGAAAGCGAATGTTTAGTCCGTTCGAAATTAAGTAGACAACTATCGGGCGCGTTATCATATCTGTACCGACGTTATCGATAATCGCAACGACTACCATCGTTAATTACAATCGGTAATTACACAGTTAATCATGATCACGTTAATTGCCGTTAATCACCATGGTGATTGGCGTACGAACGGACGGACGGGACGACGTTACACACGCACAATGAGTTAAATAATGCAAAATAGGACAAGGTTGACCGATGAGAACGCGTTCGGCGAACGCTGCGATTCCCGGAAGTGGCTCGTTGTCCATCGTCCGTCATCATCAAGACCCTTTTACGCCGGGCTGTATGTCATATCTTGCACGTACCTAGTGCGTACGCGAGCGATGACGACGATATCTGGCCCCTGCGCGAGACCACGAAAACATTATCTCTTATTTACGCGAGGGACTCATCATCGCGACATATACAATCGCCCCCGGCAAGTCCCGGAAGTACCTCCGCTCGCTCGAAGGGCGACTTCCTGCGGTCGTTGAGGTCCCGGCGGCATCGGGAGAGAGACCGAGAAACACGTTGCGCAAGCCGCTTTTTATAGACGGCAATTGTCAATCAGCCCTTCGCTCGGCCATCCCGCTCTTTCCTCTTCTCTGCCGATTCGACGATCCACTCCGTTATGGTACAAGTACGCGGTGTCGCGGTTCCACAGTTCTAGTCGAAAAGCAGAGCGCTGGCGCGCCAGCCGGTCGACCAGTTGCTTCGCCTCGGCTCTCTCTTCCTCTCTCTCTTTTTCTTTCTCTCTTTCTCTCCCTCAGCCGGCCGATCGGGTAGGATGAGTTCCTGAAGACTCGCTCTCGTCCCGCAAACGAATAATGCCTTCGAGGGGATCGACCGGCCGCCCCAAGGTAGACAGATCCACCAGCCCTCTGTCGCGGAAACCGGCTTCTGTCAGCCCGGTGCAGGAGCTGCAGGCCCTCTTCGCCGAGCCCACGGCGAAGACCGACGTCGCCACCGCCACCACCACCATCGCCACCACCACCACCATCACCACCGCTACCTCCAATGGGGGCGAGAAGGAGTCGGATTTCCGGTTCGAGGCCATACAGTGCCTACGATCTTCCGTCGTCAAGAAGACGAAAGGCCTGCCGGAACGAGGAAACTGGAGCAGCAAGGTGAGACTACGGTCAACGTCGTTTAGAGGAACAGCCGGACGTCTAATCGTCGATAATCACCGTTCTCGTGTCCTCTCTCTCACCCTCTCTCTGTTCCTTTCTTTCTCTCTTTCGAAGATCGAGTTCATCCTGTCCGTCGTGGGACTGGCCATAGGCCTGGGGAACCTATGGCGGTTTCCTTACCTCTGCTACAAGAACGGCGGCGGCGCTTTCATGGTGCCTTATTTCATCGCCCTCGGCCTGGCGGGTATACCCATGTTCCTGATGGAGCTGTCCCTGGGACAGATGATGACGATCGGCGGCCTCGGTGTCTTCCAGATAGCGCCGCTCTTCAAAGGTGACTTGACTCTTATCCTCTTGCCCGAGTCTCGTTGAGAGACTTCAGCGAAGAGTAACGTGACGATGATGACGTGTTGATCTCACCCTCCCCACAGGCATCGGATACGCCACCTGCGTACTCTCCTGCTGGACCAACATATACTACATCATCATCCTCGCATGGGCGCTCTTCTACTTCCTCGTCTCCTTACGAGCCGGTGAGCTTGTGTGCCGAATATACACTTTCGGGGCCGTTCCTCTGATCTCTGAAAACCGAATACAGAAAACGGTCATCGTCCATAGTGAAGATGATCTTCTTTGCGCAGACGTACCTTGGCGAAGCTGCGACAACTCGTGGAACACGCGCTACTGCATCGCAGCCGAAGAGCGTCTGAGCGCGCTGTGCTGGCCGGACGAATACTCGGGCGACAACGTGTGCGCCACGTCCATCGGGAACTTGAGCACCACGCTGATGAAAGACCCGGTCAAGGAGTTTTGGGAGTAAGTTGAAGCGGCAGACGCCGCGTGTTGATTAATTGCGAAACGAAAGGCCGCGTATTCACGTCTCTTCCTGCCGCGAAAAGGAGGCGAACCTTGCAGATCTCCGCGGGCGTTGAGGTAGTGGGCAGCATAAGATGGGAATTGGCCGGGACGCTGGCGGCCGTGTGGATCATGTGTTACTTCTGCATCTGGAAAGGCGTCAAATGGACCGGCAAGGTAACGTTTAGTAAACAAGAAACGTTAAATCAATCTTTCTTGAAATATTAATTTTATGTGGATTTTAGAAATACTTGGACATAATAATTCATAAATGTTTCTATATGATTGTTATTTGATAGTAAAACATTCCTAAATATTAAAATCATAGTTAGAAATATTATTTTTAATGTCTGGTTCAATATTGTTGACAGTAACGTTGTATACAATATTAAGAGCTACGTATACACGTTGCTGACGACGTTTAGTTGACTTGCGAATACGTTGAACAATTGTAATCGAGTGACATAGTTGCTTTCAACTTGATTTTTTGTATCGGGAAAATATATCCAGTGACATTACTATTCAATATTTAAAAATAAAAATTTATGATATCAATAATAAAAAACAAGTATTTTATTCTCTTTAATTATTTATATTTTACTCATATTATATTTTTATTACATTTTACTCACACACACATACACACACACATATATATATTTATTATATATAATATTTAATTTGGCTTCCGAATTAGTAAAAAAATTAGCAAATAAAACCGCATCTTTCATAGATTTGTTTTCAACGATTCGTGAACACTTCTTCATGATAAGGACGACCTGAACAGTTTTAAGATTTTTTTAATTAAAAATATTATATTCTTCTTCATTATTTAACTAACCTTTATTTTCTAACAAGTGTATGTGTTAGTCTAATGAAATATTAAGTATTTCTCTATTTTTAATTTTAATTTCTTATTTCTAATTTTAGATTAAGTATTTTTCTACCTGCGGTTAAAAATGACCGCTTGGTCCTTTTATAAGTCAGAAATGTTGCTACTTCTAATGTTAAATCTAATCCTCCTACCTTACTCTGCACTCAATGCACCGTGTACAGGTCGTCTACTTCACGTCGCTCTTCCCGTACGCGCTGCTGGCGGTATTGCTGGTGCGAGGATTAACTCTTCCCGGTGCCTCGGAAGGTCTCAAATATTACGCCACGCCAAATCTCTCGAAACTCGGCGACCCCGAGGTAAAACAAACTGTCTTGGACAAAATGTCAGTTCCTCATTGTCGAGAAGTAACAAAGGCACTCACATGTATGATCGACAAAGCACGAAAGGGTCCTTGAAGGCCTAAATCGTCTAGCGCACGTGTGTGTATGTTCGTGTATATCCGGACAAGATCCGTACTTTCGAATGCTCGGAAAAACCCAGGATTTTTCCAATTCTTCCGGATTTTTTCGGTTTCTCATCTTCTTTACGGAAAAAAAAAAAGTAAATGCGACAGGTATTAACCGAACAACCGGTGAATTTCTTTGAAAGAATGTTTCTACCCTCGGGACGGAAAGCAAAGAAATCCGCGGAAAAAATGGGGGAAAAAACCCCGGTTTTTCTTCGTGCCTTCGAAACTATAACGAAATCTGAGACACAACGCCTGCAGATTCAGACTGCCGTATGGATCCTTTCGCGTTTGATCGACTATTATTAATTTCTCGTGTGCGGCTCGAGAACTGAAACGTAGCTGTCATCATCATATTGTACCGTTCGTGTTGCACGTGTAGGTGTGGATAGACGCGGTGACGCAGATATTCTTTACTTACGCTCTCGGCCTAGGCGCGCTGGTAGCACTAGGCAGCTACAATAAGTTTAACAATAACGTTTACAAGTGAGTACCCCCCCCCCCCCCCCCCCCC